TGGGCCCAGAGCTTGCAGGGTGTGCTGCCCTCCTCCCTCCTTGCAGCTGGAAAAGTTAAATGAGGAGATCTGAATGTGGAAAGAATCGCTCACTCTTTTTCATTCTCTCCTGCCATTGGGCTTTTATAAAACCTGAATCTGGCACCCCCCAGTTCTCACTGACTCTTAGGAAACAGGATATTTTAGTAGCTTGGAATGAGATGAAATGCTTGCAAAGCCCATATGTTGCTTGTTTTAGGGAAAGGGTCAGGAAGGTTTTAAAAAGTATTTAAATATTTGGTTTACACGATTAGAATAGATTGTCTGGAATGAAGTCCATTACCCGAGGTGATTCTTGCCTCGCAGTTGAGGTTTTCATTGCAGTTCTTTGGAGTATGAGGTAGGTGTTCTGGCATTTCAGTGCCCCAACACAGTCAGAGTTAAGGGCTGTGAAGAAATGCTGTAGCTGGGATCTTGCCACTGCTGGAAGCACAGATACCTGCTGTGGCCCAGAGCTGCAGCCTGGGAGATGCCTCCTGCTCCAGGGGGTGGTTGCCAAGTCCTCTGGTGCCAGTTCATAGAACCCCAGCAGCTACTTTCTTAGAAATGTGCCTTTTCCAGTCTGCATAAGCAAAGCTTTCATGTTGGATTACATTTCTTGAGAGCTGCAGCCTGATATTAACTCATTTTAGGTGTGTTTTCAGCTCTCTACAGCTGGAAATTTAATTGTTCTGCTCTCAATTTTTCATGAGGAATGATCTTTACATGATGATCATTGTTTATGGAAAGTAAGGCTGTTGTGGATTTTTTGGTAAGGTATTCCCATGAGACTGCAGGTTTTGCAGTCTGTTCTGAAGGTTGTGAAAAAATGAAACTTTCTGCCTGACAGTTGAGATGCTGCTCTGGGTGTCACGCTTGTGCCACCCCAGTCTGTCCCTGTTGGGTCCAAAGCCCAACTTACCATTGGGCTTTTGCTGTGCTTTGTTGATATTTTTATATGAATTATGAAGCATCCTTTGATATCTGGCACTTCCCCTTGTGGTCCTCTGTTCCTTTTTATGAGTACTTGCCCCATCACTTCAAAAGCAGTTCATCACCTTCCTGCAGACAGTTCTTAATAACAGGTTTGGAACTGTAGGGCATTCCTGGGCCTGTTTTATGTGAGTTTCTCTCCAAAAATGTTCAAAAAGTGGCCATAATGTGCACAGACCTCAAATCCCCTTTGCCTGCACGTGAAGATCTCCTTATCACATGCTGACTTGTTCTGTGGATTTGCTGAATAAAAGAGCAACTGAGTGAAAAGGGTGATTAAACTTGCTCTAAATTGTCTTGAAATTATCAAATTATCATATGCTTTGAAAAAATATGTTTGGTATTGGAGCAGTATGGGTTTGACTGCAGCTGTGGAGGGAAAGGCTGGAGCCCTGGGCCTGGCCTTGCCAGGGATGTCCAAACTGAGCTCAGACTGCCTCAGTGCTTGTCTTTGGGCAGGGAAAAGCTGCTGCTGTAGCAGTTCAAAAGGGACAGAATTGCCATGGGGACAGTCTGTGTGAGTTGCCATTCCTTAACACCAGAGATTCACTGAGGTACTAATAATTACTGTTAATATCTTTCAGTGGAAAGTTTCTGAGTAAACGAGTGCTGGTTGAGGCAGCATTTAACGGCCGTGCTGGCATGATCAGAATGCAAATAAGTGTTATTAGCCTAATGATTTTGCTGTCACCACGGTGTGCTGCAGTAGTGTTGTGAATATGTCATGCAGTACCCGTGAATTTGGAAAGTGTGTCAAAACACAACTTCAATTAGTTTGCTCTAATTATGACTCTAGAGAGTTCATAAGTATATCACTCCTCATTAAAAGAGATTTTCTTATCTGGATTAATACAGCACACGGAGGGCTGTTGGAGGCAGGGCTGTGCACAGGGAGGATGCTCGTGGGGTGCTGCAGCTACAGCAGGTCTGGAGCAGCCCTGGGCTCCAGCCCCATCCCACCAGCTCCTGCTCAGGGCCAGGCCTGGGAAACCTCCCAGCCACGACAAGTGGCTGTGCCAGCAGGAACAGCCTGGTACATGGTTCTGGACAGGCTCTTCAATGAAAAATAACCAAACCAAAGAGTCCCAAAAAAGCCCTGGAAGGAAACACCCTCGATGCTGAAATAGAGATGTGGCCCAAAAGCTGTGCTCTGGTCTTCTGACAAGCAGTCAGAGGAACAAGCCTGTGCCAGCCTGGCCTCTCCAGAGAAGCCCTTTGGGGTGCTGGGTGTGTGTTCCCCTTTCCCAGGGTGTTTGTAGGGCCTTTTACAAACTGCCTTGTCACATTGCCTGAGCATGTTCCAGCTCTGCAGAGCAGGAGGAGATTGTTGTGCTCACAGGTGAGCAGTTGGGTAAGGGTTAAAGTAGTAATTGTTTAAATCTTTTAGGCTTTCCTCCCAGTTCTGTGATAATTTGATGAAGAACTTCACCCTAATTAAATATTCAAATTAGGAATAAGTGTCAATATGGCTTCCTGGTGCCTGGAATGATGATTAATTGTATTCAAAACTCTAGTGGCCGCTGTAATCTAAACCAAACCGTTGTTCTTGATTATTTGTGCAACACATTTACCATGTTTTTGTTTTAAAATTTAAACTAGTAATTGATTTGCCATATGCCACAGAACTGCACATACTTTCACGATATGTGTTTAGGAACTTGGGGACTTTGTAATTGGGATTTTCTTGCTTTTCAGTGGCAGCCTCTTTTTTTTTTTTCTTCTACAATGCAAAATGATTTGGCTCTCGCAACACATGAGGAAAATGCATTATGCAATCAAGTTTGTAGGTATAAGCTCTATTGATCCTGGCCAAAGTTTACATTAATTTAAAATAAATTAGGCTTTGTTTCCCATTCCTCCCTACAATGTCATCTTTTATAAAAAGAAAGAGGGAAGGGGAGAGCTGATTTCCATGCAGCAGTCACTGCCCTGTCTTGTGCAGCTAATGTTCATCTTGGAGACATCTCTCTGGCTGTCTGTAGCAGCTGGAGTGATGGAATGCCCAGTCCTACGTCAGAACAATTTCTGCTGAGAAGAAAGCAGTCCCCCATAGAGGGCAGAGAAATTCAGACTTTCTACTGGCTGCCTTTGGTGGCTTGGAAAATATTTTTGAATACTTCTATTAAAAATCGAATGAGAAGCATGTCATGCCCACAGGCAGTGGTCTCCTGTTTTAAAGTGTGTTCATAACAAGCATGCTTCTCTCCAGAGACTCTCATGTGGATTGTGTTTCAAACAGCAAACTGATAGCCAAATTCAAATATATTTTCACACCATCTTTTTTTGGTTAAAAATAGCTTTGGAAAGCAAAAGCGAACTCAGACTGATGTTTGCTTTTTCTTATTTTATCTGTGCTGTTCACCATCATCTGCATCAAGGGCTAAAAATACCTTGTTCTTCCCAAAACGTGTCCTGTTTTTGAAGGCAGATAACTTCCAGATGATTCATGTGGTAGATAAAAGCTGCTGGCTGAGGGCAGGGTGTGATGCAGTGCTGGGGAGTACCCGGGGCCCTGTGTCACACAAAGGCTGCCTGGCTCTCCTGGCAGGAGGGAGATGCCCAGATTCAGGAGCTCTCACTCAGCTGAGGTGGGAGCTTCTCCCTCTGCCTCACGCTGCCCTGAGCCCCTCCATGAAGAGGAAACATCTTTTTTTTTTTTTTTTTTTATGTGTGGCAATGCAGTCCAGAAGATTAATGATAACATTTTATTAACATTGACGCCAATGGGGATGTGCATGAGAGAAACAGAGATGGGGATTAAAGGGGCAGAGCTGTGCTGGCTGTTGATGGGTGCTGATGGTGTGGAGCTGCTGTGAATGCCCTGCTCAGGGTGGGTGGCCACTCTTGCATTCCAAGGGGTGGAAGGGGCTGGCACTGAGTGTAGACAGCTATGGAAGCAACATTAAAATTGGCGTTTGCTGCTTAACCTGGCTGCAGTGAGCTGGCAGGAGCAGCACCCTGTGCTCTGTGCTAACATTTATTTGCTCCCTTTCCCTCAGGCACATCTCACTGACACTGCCAGCCAGCTTTCGGGGCAAGAGCCACAGCACCCGCCTGGATTTGGAGCACTCCAACCTGTATGCCATCTCAGGTGAGTGCCACCCTGCCCTCGCTCTGCTGGGCCACTGCAGCCCTGCTGCCAGGGGGTTCTGTAGTGCTCTTACACCTGAAGAAATACTGCCAGAGGCATGGTAGAATCATGGTAGAATGCACAAGTTTGGCTCTGTTTTATGTTGTTTTTGCAAGAGGAGAAAGATACTGGATTTAAACCTGACTCTGTCAAAGCCTAATGAAAGTCCCTTCATCTGGCTGAAGGAGATTTTAGGACATTTTGGACATCCAGCAGTGGGTTCAGTGGGCTGTGCAGTTGAAGGTGCTTGTGTGTAATCAGGGAAGAGAGGATGGCAAAAAAGTACCACTGACGGGTTCCCTGTTAGTACTGAGTGACACTTGTAACATAGGAACATGGCATTAATTCATGTACCATAATCAAAGGGTTATTTAAATAATCTCTCCCTGAAACTGCAGCTTCAGGTTCCCAAAGAGATAAAATGTAACAATTGCATAATACTTGTCAGTCCTCGTTTTTCTTGTTACTCTCCTGCCCTGATAGGTTTGGAAATGTCAGGGAAGGTGTGTTTGTGTGTTGGCAGGAGGCAGTTCTGCCGGGGATGGATGGCAAGCTGTGCTGTCTCTGCTGGGGCAGCAGCTCTGTGCAGTGTCAGGGGGACTGCCCGTGCTGCAGGCTGTGCTGGCCTCTGCTCCTGGTGCCTGCTTTGCACAGAGCCTGAACGCTTCACCAGATCCTTACAGGCAAAGCACAAAACAAGGCCTTGTGGAGCCAGACGGGGCATTAGTTCTTCATGTTTGCTCGAGCTCGTTTTCAAGTATATAACTCTTTATTTTTCCTCCAATTGCACATTCTCCTCCAGAACCACTGTTATGAGTTGTGCATATGTTGTAATGGCTATTACAGCTGCGAGCTCTTTGCAGAGAAAGGCTCTTGTCGTATGACACATCCTGTGCACTGACAGGATTTTCGTGCACAGCTCCTGCCCACGGCTGCCTTGTCAGCAGCTGCAGCGAGGTGCCGCAGTTCCCTTTGTGTGCTCCAGCCTTTGGGAGGTGGATTAGCCCCCAGACACGCTCTGGAAGCCATTCCCAAGTTTCCTGTTCCGTCGGTGTCGTGTGCAGGCAGTCTGGGCTCTCTGCAGTGCTGCTGCAGTGCCATGGCAACAGGAGATTTAGGAGCCGGCTGCCACGCCTGGGCTGCTGCCAGGGGAGGGCCAGGGGAGCTGGGCCCCCAGCACACACAGGGACGGGCTCTGGGCTCCCTCTCTTGGCTCCCAGCTCACAAGAGGGCTTCTTGCTGAGGGGAACAAAAGCCATTGTGAGCAGTCTCTTGGGAGTTTGGTGTGGCCTCAGTCTGCCTGGGAAGGGAGGGCTGCAGTGGGGTAGGATGAGGAGCTGCAGCCTGGGCTCTCCTTGCTCTCTGTAGACACCCAGGATTTTCTCAGTATTCTATGAAAACAACGCTTCCAGCTGTGGAAGATAAAATGAATTTTGGCTGTCAGTCCTACTTTGTGTTGCAAATATATTTTGGCAGAATAACTGTATCCTCACTGGAACTGCCCCTTACCCCTTGGGCAGTTGTTTGCACAAAACTGGAGTCAAGGGAAAAATGGTCCTAAAAGCAGCCATTACAATTTCTAACCAGTCTTTTGTCATTGCCAGTCTTGGCCATGACACACTGGGTGACCAGAAATTCGGGAGCCTTCTCTTGGCACATGCCAGTAAGTGTGCCCCTGGCAGGGTGCAGGTGGGGAGGCACTGCCCAGAGCACTGCTGGCATCATCCTCGTGCCTGGCAGCCTCCCTCATGCCCCCCTGTGCCAGGCACCCAGGCCAAAAGGCAGAATGAGTTCTGGTGCAGAATGTCTGTGGGTGCTGCTGGGGCAGGGTGCTGAGGAGCTGACAGGTTTAATGTGCATGCTGGGGCAGGCAGCTGCTGCAAGAAGGATGCCTCGCTGCAGACAGACCTGTTGACAGACACAGCTCAGTATTTCACAGCACAGTCTTTCCTCATGGCCTTCAGTTTAATTAAGATGTTGTTGTGACTACATACTGCCTTCATTTCAGACTTGAGCATCTTCTGCCAGCATATTGCTTTGGCTTATCAGAGGCACAAGCACAGTGAGGGAGAGGCAGCCCTCACAGGCAGGCACAGATAATAACATACAGGGAAAATTCCTCAATGAAGTGAAAAATTATTTATAATAATGGTACTCAAATAGAAGGGAAATAAGTCACTCTAAGGGTATATAAATTTTTATGATAGTGTATAAACAGCCATAGCCTGCCTTGTCTCCCATCTATTCCTGCAGAGAATGAGGGCAACATCTAGCATAAAGAAAAATACAATAAGAAAATGAAGAAATGAATGGGAAGAGCTGGAGGATTGATCACCCAGTGTATTTGTATATCCTGATGTAAAAGGTGCTCCTGACAGGTGGCCAGGTTTCTTCTGTATAAAACCATGTGTGTGCTGTCAGGGCAGTGTGAGCAGCCTTGTTTCGATTGATGAATTGCCTGCTTCCTTGATTAAACCTTCCATCACTTACAAAACAAAAAGCCTGTGTTTCGATGGCAGAGTGGGACATGTCAAAAAAATCTGTCTGCTTTACCTTTGTGCAGATGTTGGGCACAGACTGTAACATGTATTATTAAAATGAATGTGGCATTTACTGTGCATTATTTCTTTCCTGGGAGAAGGGACCTGTAAATTATATGCTAATAATAAGCTTTAACCCTTCCAGGAACCAAGAGATGTAAGAGTGTAAATATTCTGCAGGCATCACTTAATTGGATGGGCTCTAACACCACTGCAGCATTCTGAAGTTACTAAGCAGAGGGTTCCAGCCCTTGCTGCCAATGATCTGTGCATTGTGCTGAGCAGGGTTGTCTTTTTCCTCCCTGAAGTTCCCCTGTAGCCATCTTCAGCCTTGCATTACAGATAAATGTGTTTTGGGGCAGCAGCAGACAAGTTTGTGTAATTTGACTCCAGGACAATCTCATTCTCTCTTGGCCTGTTCTCAGATGAGGATAGAAATTGTGTTGTAGGGAGTGTGTCAGTCTGTACAAAGCCATCAGAATGTGTGCATAAAGCAATTAAAGCCTCTTTACACCGGTTTTATGCAGGAAACAATTGTATGAACTTCCAGATCCTGCTGCAGCTTGCAGTGTGTAGCCAGAAACCCAACTTCACTCATATGAACCTTTCCAAGGATATTTATTCTGGCAGAAATTTGGAGATAACAAGATGATCAGTTACCCTTGGGTCGGACTGAGGTTCATCTTTTGAACACTTAAATATGGGAAAGCAGTAGAACAAAAGCAGAACATTGCTATATGTTTGTTGGTAGCATTTTCAGGTAACACTTGCCAGCTGTCAGCCCCAAACAGTCAAAACGTTTGTGGAAGTACCTTAAGAAATTAATGATGTTAGCTGGACATACTAACATGTCAGCCATAAGTTTAGGCACCCATCCTCAAGTCATGTTAATCCATAGAAATAAACCAGGATCCACAAGTACAGCATCTCTCACCACTCAGAGCATGTTCAGTTCAAGACCTTGCTGAGCTGCAGGTGAAGGTTTTCATTCTCTTTAAGAGGAGAAAAGCTATGTCCTGTGGGTTGGAGCTTAGATGTCACATCCCAAAAAACATAACACGCTTTATCTTCTGATAGAGCAGTGTCCGTGCTGTGACAGAGCACAGCACTTGCTGTTTGTTTGGCTGAGGAGCAGGGACTTTTCCAGCAGTCATTTGATGCTGAAGTGCCTTTGCATGTGTTTCTTACCTTACAGGTACTGTTTTGTGGTCTTTGAACACTTTAATTGATGCATATCAAGCTACTTGTGTGAAGTATTTTCAGTGAGAAGGGAAGTGTGGCGGGCTGCCAGCGCAGCGTTGGCTCGCTGTGAGTGCCAGCATGCCATGGAGGGGAGGTTTCCATGTGCAGCTCTCACAGGTGCCAGCTTCTCCACAGCTCTGCCTTGTTTATTTTGGAGTCACACACCGGTATTTATTACCTTAGGGAGGTAAATATTTACTTAAATGGGTATTTATTACATTTATATATAAATAGCTTTTTACGATATTTAAGTATTTATTGCCCTCTTTAAGACACTTTCTGGGAAAGGTCAGAGCAAACTGTGGTATGAGAGTTTGGAGAGGGAAACATTTGTGAGCTGAGGCTCCAGTCCAAATTCCACCTGCTGGCTCACACAGGTGAGTGTTCCCAGCAGG